GAGTTGGGTCCCAGAGGAGGCCTGAGGGGATTAGACCAGGGCCCAGGGGGAGGAATTAGTTTTGAACAGAAAGCACACTCCATCTTCAGACGAGAGGAAAGGGTGAGGATGAATAAAGCTATAAAACGCGTTGACTTCATCATGTGTTTATTTTACACTGCCTCATTTCACAGAGGACTGGAGGCATTTCTGTGGATAAGTTGATAGGTTGAAGGGACTGGAATTTAAGAATCCCCCCCGCCTCCAGGGGCTCTGCTTTCTCCATGAGTGGGAGGCAAGGTCCCCCACTGAGAAAAGGAGAAGGGTGTGTTTGTGTTGCTTGCGGAGGAGGCCGGCAAAGGTCTGCAACGATGGGGAAGGGACTGAGAGAGGGGGGCCCAGCTGGACTGTTTATAAAGACCATGGGATGGAGCTGAGGGCCCAGATGTGGCCCTCGCACAACTGTGGAATCTCCCCCAGCAGCTTGGGGAGCTGTCTTGCTCTGAGCTGCCGTTTCATCTGCAAACAAGGAGGGCTATTGTGAGGATTAAATAAAATAATGGACATGAGGCACCTCACATGGTGCCTGGCACACAGGAGTGGCTTGATACTCATTTTCTTTCCCCTCCCCCTTTGAGCAGGCCCGAGCCAATGTTACCTGGATGGAAAGGGTGTTGGTACCTTGTACTGGTGGGTGCTGCTAGATACAACAATTTTGAACGCAGTCGACCCTCATTATTCACAGTTCTGTTCTATAAAGTTGCCCCAAAGACTGAAAGAGCAAATACTGAATCATTGCCCCTTAAGGAAATAAAGGGTCAGGTTCCTGTGAGCCTCAGGCCATGTTTTCACCAACCAATCAATACACAACCCTGTTTTATGTGTGTTTCTGTTTAAAAAACGCCTTATTTAATATTGTTGATTCATTAACACTGAATTCATGGCCAACAGCACTATAATTCATGCCCGAATGAAGCTTATCCAACGCACATATTTTCTCCCTAAGGCACATCATAGCCTTCTTGCGCTTAGGAACACTGCACGGTGCTTCGGCATTACAGTTGGGGGCCACTTTAAATAGCAAAATCACCAACCAGAAAAGCACAAAAATGAGAAAAGCATGACAGCGACCAGACCACAAAACAGATACTTGTTTACAGCCTGAGAGCTGAGACAAGAGGGCAGAGGCCGCCTCGTTGGACCTCAGCTGGGAACATGCATGTTGGGCAACTCAATGTTCACCACTCGGTGCATGCGCATGTCCACAGATGACTGCGAAAGCACCTCACGTATTGATTTTGGGGGTTGCAGGTAAATTTTAGGAGTAGGGGACTTTGCAAATATGAAATCCATGAATAATGAGACCCCACTGTGTCTTTTTCATTCTGATTATAAAATTACATAATAAACAGAGATATACAATGTATGAAGTCCCCCCCCCATAATCCTAGCTTATAGATAAACACATTTAAAATTGCTAGAGTTCTACAAATTTTTGCTACATATATAATGCACATGTGTATGACTGTGTGTTCATATCTGTGTCTGTGTGTGTTTGGGCCTTCCTTTCTTTTTCCACTCAGCAATATCTCTTGGATCGTTTTTCAAAAAAAAAAAAATTCCCGATGTTATTTTTTTTAGAGTGTGAATGGAAGCAGGTGTCATATACTGCCATCAGGATCTCTAAGGTTTAGACCCCTCAACGGAGATCCAGAAGGAGCAATGGCTTGACAAACTTAAGTATAACCAACAGTTTGCATATAGTACTATGCATCTTAACTGTGTTAAAAACAAAATTCAACTGAGTAAATGTGAACATCTAATTGGCTTTAGTAAACAATTCATGAGTAGGGCAGCATCCCATCTGGCAACTAGAAGGGAGCTCCAAGGAGCTGTACAAAACGGGAGGGTTGTATAGAAAGAAGGGAGGGGAAAGGGGATTTCTTTCAATTAGTGAAAGAAAAAGGGTTATTTTGGGGGCTTGGACATCTTTTCTTTGGGGGAAAAGAAAGGAAAGGGTTTTTATGATATCAATTGCCTCTTCTTTCTCAGGGGGATGGAGAGGACTATGTGACAGATTACCTTACTGGTGCTTGACCAGAAAATTCCAGAATGATTGAATTCTGTATAATAAAAGCCCAGCAACCGAACGGCGGAACGACCAGAATGACCAGAATGACCAGGACCCCTTGCCCCGGCCAGCCCCGCCCCCGAGGGGGCCTCCCCCACCCTGATCGGGGGCAGAGCTGGCTGGCAAACTGCCCACAGCCCCTCGCCCTGGCTGGCCCTGCCCCGATCGGCCCCCATAGGGGCGGGCCGACTGGACCCCACCAGTGCACGAATTCATGCACCGGGCCTCTAGTAAGATTATAAAAGTTAATGAATCACTGCTGCATAAGCAACCAACTTGTTTCTGGCAATGACAGAGATCAGGTATGAGATTTGGTATCACCAGCTTTTAGCACAGGTGACACCATTTTGGGCCTGTTGTTTTTTTCTTTAACAACTGAGATGATGTAAGGTCAGAAGAAGAACAGCTCAAAGGGTGAAAAGGCTAAAAGCTGGAAAGTATTGTGAAAGGTCAGAGAGGCTGTAAGTTTCAGCCAGAGGGAACCACTTTCCATACACTTTGGAAGAGATTGGCGCTAGATATTAAGAGGAACTTGGCTACTGAAAGTAGCTATTTAGACCATAGCATTAAATAGTACCAGAGTCTCTTCTCAAAACAGATATAGAATAGCACTGGGAATGTTAAGCTGATGCAACAAAGACTCCAAATACAACGGCTTAGAGAAAATGGAAATTTATTTCTCACACTCTAGCTAGTCCACATTGGTAGGTGGCTCCACTCCATATGGTCATTCAGGAACCCAGGTTCCTTCTGTCAGACCCTTTGAAGTAATCCTGAAGCTGAGTCCCTGGCACATCTGTGTTCCAACTCAATGGAACATGGAAGAGCAAAAGCCTAGTGCCTTAAGGGCTATTTCATTTACATCTTACTGAAAAGGACTTAGTCAGGAAGCCACACTCAGAGCAGCTGGAAAGTGTGGGGTCTCTAGCTGACCAGATATGTTTCCAGCTATTTTGTTGCTATAGAAGAGGAGTATGGATTACATGTTGAATAAATGAAGCCTTTTTTATTTTACTTCAAATAATTCAATGATTTAGACCAGGCCCTCCTTACCAAAAAAAAAATTTTTTTTTAATGGGAGTGCATATCAGCATATCATTTGTGATTCCTTTGGTTGTCAAGTGACAGCACAGGCTATTAAACTTGCTTAAGCAATAAGATGGGCCATCTCCCAGTCGAGGCTCTGTCTCAGAGAGCCAGCTCCTCTGCTCTAGCACCTTCTTGGATTCAGTCGGGTGTGGGCCGCATCCTCAGACTGGGACCAAGATGGCTGCGGCAATCCAAGCATCACCGCCAACTACATCCACACCCAGCGAGGAGGGTAGACTGATCTTTAAAGTGAAGAGATCCTTGCCGGAAGCTCCCTCCCTACCATAGGCTTCCCCTCTGGTGTTTTTCAGGCCAGACCTGCCTCATGTGTCCAAGTCCAAGACATCACTGGCAAGAGTCGTGTAACCACGGCAATGGACTTGGACCAACGGGGGCTCACTTCTTTGGTCACATGAGGAAGGGAACCACCTGAATAAAATCAGGGCTCTGACTGCCAGGAAAAGTTAAGGAATCACTGCTGCACGAGCAGCCAACTTGTTCCTGGCAATGACGGACACATGGGACCAGGTGATGGTGTGATGGGAGGACACATGAACAGCAGAGGAGTAAACGTCAAGTTGTTTCTTAAAGTATACCTCAGTAAAGTGTAATTCCAGTGAAGACACTGCTGGAGGAGTCAGAAGCCGGGGAGCTACCCTCAACGCCTCCTTCTTTCTCACCCCCGCATCCAATCTCTTACAAATTTCAGTGTCTATGCTTTCAGTACCCCAGCTTTCTCTCCTTACCCACTGCATGGCCCCCGTGCAGGTCTCATGTCCTGCAGGCATGATGACAACAGTGACCTAACTGGTACCCAGGCTCTCTTCCTGAAATCCACATCTTTGCTACTGTTATTCAGCTACACACCTTCACCGTGTACAGAGCACTGCATATATGCAGACAATCAGAAAGGGTCTCTGCCTTCACTTTGCTGATCGTATAATGAGCATCTCCTGGACGTTCTGAAACCCATGTCGGACCCGGTCATTTCCCTGCTCAAAAACCCCATGCCTTCAGGAAATCCTTTACCCTGACCCTCAACATCCTTCACCTCCCCCAAGCCCCTCCCCCCAATAGTACAGAACTACTTGCACTTCCCCCCATGTGCCCTCCCCTTGCACACCGCTATGCTTCTGCACATGCTGTCCCTTCCACTAGAATCCCCTCTCCATCTGGCGTACAAGACAAGGTCTCCTATTACTCTTTCTGCTGCTCCACCTCCACCTCCACCCTCACCCCCACCCCCACCCCCGATATTTACACAAACATGGCCCTCCAAAAATGTTTGCTGAGTGGAGGCAACAACTCCTTGGGTCAGATGTTAGCCAGGGCCGGAGCTTTCCAAACTTCTTGCCAACGCATTTCTTAAGAAAAGGAAAAAGAAAAGGAAATGGGACCCCAGGACTTGGGGATGTGAGGGTCTTGAACTGCTCTAGGCCAGCAGGGTATTCCTCGAGTTTGAGCTTTATATGTTATACAAAGTTGTAATCTACGCAGATAACATACATATTATTTCTCCCAAGTCTTTAAGTTGATGACCAAAAAGATGTTCCTCTTTTATTCGTTAGGCTCTCACATTAGCTGTCCTCGCACCGCAGGGACCCTAAGCAAGACCTGGGTGTTGTTCCAAGTGCAAACCCTGAAGAACAGCTGGGTTCAGGGGTGGTAGAATGGTGGGGGCAGGGAGGGGGTCTGCGGGCTGCAGGCTGGGCCCCGCCCCTTCTCTCCCCCGCCCGCCGCGAGGGAGGAGTCACTCGGGTCCCGCCCGCGGGGGCGGGGAGGGAGTCTCGGCTGCCGGCCGCTCCGGCTCGGCTGGTTCCGGGTTGAGAGGCTGCGCTGGGACCAGAGCAGTGGCCGCGGAGCCGGCGGGGGTAAGGATCCGCGCTGGGTCGGGTCTGGGGGCCGGGATAGGGCTGATGAACGTGCTCGCACCGCTCCTTTCCTCCGCCAGGCACAGCCGTGGTGCGGCTCCGTTTGGCTTTTCCCTCCCCCAGATTTCCCTATCCCCAGCTTCTCCCCCTCCCCCATCGCACCCATCCCGGGATTTCAGCCCCCCAAGGCCTCCGTCCCCCTCCCGGGTGCCCTTCTCCCAGCGCCCATTCCTTCGGACTGCCCCTCCCCCTAGAACCTTCTGGCCCGGAGTCCCTTCCCTCCGACGCCCACGGCGCACTCCCTCCAGCACCCATCGCTCCAGGTCACCCACTGCCTCGAGACCACCTTCCTAAACTGCATCTCGGGTCGTCTCTGCTCCGCACCCCTTCCTCGCACTGCCTGTCTCCTGGACCGTAGCGCCCACTCCTTCCCCTCCCGGCCCGCTCCCCGCACCCATCCTTCGGTGCTGCTCCCCTCAACGCCGCGCTCTCTCAGCAGCCCCCCTGCAGCTCAGCCCCCGTCTCCGCCGCCCCTGGCGCCATGGCGTGCAGCCTCAAGGACGAGCTGCTCTGCTCCATCTGTCTGAGCATCTACCAGGACCCGGTGAGCCTGGGCTGCGAGCACTACTTCTGCCGCCGCTGCATCACGGAGCACTGGGTGAGGCAGGAGGCGCAGGGCGCCCGCGACTGCCCCGAGTGCCGGCGGACGTTCGCCGAGCCCGCGTTCGCGCCCAGCCTCAAGCTGGCCAACATCGTGGAGCGCTACAGCGCCTTCCCGCTGGACGCCATCCTCAATGCGCGCCGCGCCGCGCGCCCCTGCCAGGCGCACGACAAGGTCAAGCTCTTCTGCCTCACGGACCGCACGCTGCTGTGCTTCTTCTGCGACGAGCCCGCGCTGCACGAGCAGCACCAGGTCACCGGCATCGACGATGCCTTCGAGGAGTTGCAGGTGAGCAGCCCGGCGGGCCTCGGGCGGGGGACTGGGCAGGCCCGGAGGCAGGGCCAGGGCTGGACCGTGGGCGGGGCCAAGTCAGGATTGCCACGGGGCGGGGCCGCCGGCAGGGTCATGGCCCTATCAGAATTAGTGTGGGGGCGGGGGCGGGGCGGGGCTGCGGTGAGGGGCGGGGTCTGAGATAGATTGAAGTTGGGTAAGTCCAGGGTTGCGGAGAGGGCACCAGTGGAGTCAGGGAGGGACAAATGGGGATGGGCTGAGTCAAAGCTGGGTTAGGTTAGGGCCACTGTCAGTTGTCATGGGGCCAGCTGGAGATGGGCCCACATAGAATGGCTCAGGACAGAGTTGGGGACAGACACAGATTGGAATGGGGATGCAGTCAGGGCTAGACGGGGTGGAACCCTCTCCAAGGATGGGTCAAGGCTACATGGAGTAGCTGAGCAGCAGGTGTGGGGCCCATCGTGTGTGTATCAGGATGACGGGGCAGTACCCGGACTGGGCAGGTAGGGATTAAACCCGGACTGGGCAGGTAGGGATTAAATCCAAGAGAGGGTGCAAGTTAGGGTCCACAAACTGCTGAGAATGGGTTTGGGTGCCAAGGGCTAGGCTGAGGTGTGTAAGGGGTTAAGGCTGGGATCCAGTTGAGATACTGTAAGAACCATTTGGGGTTTAAACCAGAGTAGAGCCTCACTCTGGTTGAGAGTGAGGACAGGACTCAAGGGAAGGCTCAAGACTCGGAGAGTGAGGCCGTGAGGTAGGTGAGATTTGAGAAGGCAGGGTGTGGACCTGTAGGAGCCTCCAGGGGCTTTTGATGACCTCCTTGGCTCTGTCACCCACATCAGGACCTTTACGGACTAAATGAAACAGCACATGCTTGGTAACCTGAGCATAGTCTGCCTAAGACTGTAAATGGTCTCCCTTAAACCTTCCCGTCTTCACTAGCCAACTCCTCAGTTCTCAAGGCCCTGCTCAAACATTCTCTCTTTGTAAGCCTTCCCCAAGTTCCACTGCCCCCCCCCCCAAAAGAGGAAAAAAATAGCATTAGAGCTGCATTTCCCCTGATGTTCTCTGTTAATAACTATGATGTTTTAAAAAGTGTTCCAGATTATCTATATTTGGGAAATATAGCATATTCTCTATACACCCCTTAGAGAAGTCTCGGTGTACATTTGCATATTAAAGGATTGGGCAATAGCAAAGAAACTCATTTTACTGTATTTAATAAAAAGGTTCCAAGCGTATTGAAGCCTGGAATCTCTTTCTCAAGCTAAACCATTTAAATCCAGCAGCCTCACACCTCTGGCCTTGGCATACCATCTAGCACACAGTTCCCCAAGGGCAGGGACAGTCTCTTATTCATCATATCTGTGGCCCCAAAGCCTGGCACAGAGCCTGGCCGACGGTACATATCAGTAAAGGTTGAATGAATGAATGACCAACCTTGACCAGAACTGGCCCAGACTCTGGAGCCTTCGGAAGCAGAAGAGTTTCAACTCAAACATTTTATGAAAATGCAGTGGGCCAACTTGGGGGAGTGAGCTCTCTGGCCTTCAAGAGGCTTATGCAGGAGATAAAGAACGACTTTGTCCCATATTTTAGGAGGTTCCTCCAACCCGTGTACATGAGTCCCTACAAGTCAGCCTGTACTTGCAGATGCTCATGGAGATGTGCGTTGGTCCCAGAAGAAATGGCCTGTGTTCCCCATTCTCCATTCCCCGTCCCTTTCATCCCAAAACCATGACTGACTTCCTTCCAGTCTGGCTCTTTGAGGATGGAGAGCAAGGGTGGGGGGCTCTGGGAGCTTGCACAGGCTAGTATTGGCCCTTGACCTCCAGAGTTCCTTGTCCCAAGCACTGGTGGCCCCATCTCCTCGTCTGTGAAGAGGAAAGAATCTTTGACAGGACTAGGTGCAGGTTGTAGGAGTTTGAAGGGATTTTGTCTGAAACCATCTGTCCAGCCTCTTTATTACATAAGTGTGGAGACTGAGGTCCAGACAGGAGATGTGACTTACCCAAAAACACACTGCCAGACAAGGAGAGATCGATCCCGGCTAGAAAGCACAGCCTGACCCGGGCCAGATCCCTCCGCTGCCCTTCCTCCCTCCTCTTCCTGTCTGACTTTCTAGCCGGAGAGGCCTCTGCCCACTGACCCGTGGTTCCTTTTTCAGTAAACTAGAAAAATCAGAATTACTGTGTTTGGGTTTTTTGTGGTCCATTCTGTGTCCTGGGGAATATAGGAGAAATTGAATATATATTTTCTCCAAATGTTATTGAAACACTTTTCATTCTTGGATAACAAGACAAACAGGACTGCCACTCACTTACCTTCTAGTGTACCGCCCCGCGACAGCACTGGCGTCCCAAACCTTCCTTCAGCGCTGTCTGTGTAACTCAGCCACGTCGCTGCATGTAAGCCTTGCTGCTCCCATCTGTTAACTGGGGTCAGGATGAGTCTTTCCTACTAGGATTTGAATGAGGCTGACCTGTGATGAACCTGCTAGAGACGCCTGGCACGTGGTGGGCCTTGGTCTACACGCACTCCCATTCCTTCTCCTTCTACCTGTGAGAACTCGTATGTCCAGCTGGGGAAATGCCCAGCCCTGCCTCTCTTACCCCAGGAGGCCTGGCTTTGGTGCCTAGTTGGGCTTGGCAAGAAGGTAGCAGAGAAACATGCCTCCCCATTAGAGAGGCAAGCTCCTGGGTAAGGTTCAAGCCACTCCAACCCCTACCTGCATCTCTCTCCTTATGAGCCCTGGGTCAGGCTGAGCTGTCCCCCACACCCCTCCTTTCCCGGCTGCAGGCTTCCGGAGCCTGGGATTGGGCCCCTCTCCTCAAGATAACAGACTTAGCTGGCAGGGCCTTGGAGATTGGCTGGTGCAACCTTCACTTGACAGATGGGGAATGGCAGGAGGGGAGGCGCCTTGCCCAAGGCCTCAAAGCCAGAGGAGGCTGGGCGTAGGCTCAGCTGGAGACCCCCACACCCCGCCTAGCAGTTGGTCTGAAGCTTTTACATTTATTAGACACCCTGGAGGCAGCAGAGCAGAAAGGTTAAGAGGTCTGGCTTTGTATTCAGGCAGCTCCAACCCAGCGCTTACCATTTTCGGGTTGTGTGACCTTAAGAAAGTTACGTATCATCTCTGCGCCTCACATTCCTCATTGACAGCGTGGAGTAATGGGGTTGGATTAAATTTGATGACATTTGCAAGAACTTAATACTGCACTTGGCACATTGTGAGCACTTAATAAATAATAGCAGCGCCAGGATATTACATCATACTCTGCACTATTGATATTTAGGGCCAGGTAAGTCTTTGTTGTACAAGGCAATCCTGTGCATTATATGTGTCGCAGCATCCCCGGCCTCTCTCTAGATCAGTCGTTCTCAACCTTCCTAATGCCGCGACCCTTTCATACAGTTCCTCATGTTGTGGTGACCCCCAATTTCATTGTTACAAATTGAACATAATTAAAGCAGAGTCATTAATCACAAAAACAATATGTCATTATATATGTGTTTTCCGATGGTCTTAGGCGACCCCTGTGAAAGGGTCGTTTGACCCCCAAAAGGCTTGCGACCCACAGGTTGAGAACCGCTGCTCTAGATGCTAGTAGCGCCCTTCCCCCAAAGTTGTGACAACCAAAAATGTCTCCATACTTTATCCCATGTCCCCTGGGGTCAAAATCAGCCCTGGTTGAGAACCCAGGCCTGAAGAAGTCCTACTCAGCTCTCCAGGCTCAGCTCAAATATCACCTGCCCCGTGAAGCTTTCCCTGACCTGCCGAGTGGAATTGCTTTGACTCTCCAGGTTCCACTGCTGGGCTCAGATCCTGGCATCGTCACTGAGAAGCTGTGTGTCCTTGGTCAGGTCACGTGGCCTGCTCATCTATGACATGGGTGAAAGGTGCTGTGTCAAAAGTGCCTGATACTGTGCCTGGCACAGAGTAGCACACAACAGTTTTGAAATACCTTTTGATTCTTTTTCTGATTATAGAATTAGCATAATAAACAGAGCTATATAATGTAAAAGTTAAAGTCTCCCAGTAGTCCCACCCCACAGAGAAACCTGTTAAGCACATGAGTGTGTGTGTGTACATCTCCCCACCCCCCACCCTTTTTTTTTCACTGCTGAGCACTAGATCTTGGCGCAAAGGGGAGGGAGGAGCCCATCTCAGCAGGGTTTGGGACTTCTCCGCTAGTATTTCCTGAGCTCTAGCCTAACGCCTGGGGCTGTACTAAGCGCTTTTCTGGTATTACCTCATTTAATCTTCCTAACACCCTGTCCAGTGGGTTCTGTAATTTGTTCCTTTTGCAGATAAGGAAACAGAGACTCAGGAATGCAGTGACTTGTTCAGTCAGCCCGCAAGTAAACAGCAGGGGCAGGATTTGAAGCCAGTCTGACGGGGCCGCTCACAGCCTCCGAGCTGCTTCTGAGAGCCGGGGAGTTGTCTTTCCACCTCCCCACCCGGGTCCTGCCTATCTTGGTATTACAAGTACTCAGCCCCGGGTCAGGCTAAGGACACAGGCCACCTGTACCAGCTGATGCACCGAGGGCAGGTGGCTGGATGGCATCTGGGTCAGGCATGGTATTCGGCCCTCTGGCCATCTCAGCTTCCTAACCTAAGAAGGGATCTGATTCAGTCTCAAACACCCCCTCCAGGCCTCATGTGACCATTGGAGCCTTTCCCAAGGCCTCCTTCATACCAAGGGAGACAGCGGTGGATCAGCCTTGGATGGGAGCCTTGAAAAACTGTGGTGATCCAGAGATGCCCAGGCAGCCGCACAGGGAAAGAGCAGGGTTGGGGGGGCTGGGTTCCAATCCTGCTTCCTCCACCTGAATTGGAGGTACTGCTTCTCTGCACCCTTCCCAATCTGGGAAATGGAAGTAGGAACGAGACTGTCCACTTCGTGTGTAAAGAGGGAGAGAGTTGCTTCCTATCCCAAAAAAATGACAGATATGAAGGACAGGGAGGCAGCCAGGTTGTCTGTGTCCCAGGAGAGGGCAGGATTGATGTGCAAACAGCAGCCTCCGTGGGGGCGAGGCTGGCAGTGAGTCAAACCCGGGGCTAGCTGTTGGCCTCTCCACTTCCCTCCTCACGGGTGTCTTTGGGCAGCCTGCTCATCCAGGGCACCTTGGCTAAGCACAGGCTACAGTATAGAAACTTGGAGTTGACGTTTATTTTACATAGAGAAAAGGGTCTGGTGGAGAGTGACAACAACCGAAATAATAACAACTCTAAAAACACAACCACCACCACTGGCTGAAGAAGTTTCTTAGGCACTTGCTCTTTGCCAGGTGCTGTTACGGGCATTGAATCCTCCCAACGGCCCTTTATTCTTTCCCTGCTCCCCCAGTGGGACTCCGCACCACCGCACCGATGGAGACCCTGAGGCTGAGAGGCCCCATAACTTGCCCAAGATCACACTGCAAGTGGGAGGCAGAGAGGGATTCAGACTGGGGTCTGTCCAGCTCAGAACTCAGCCTCCCCACCAAGATTCTAACTGCCTTGGGGAGCACCTGAATGGGGAGGGAGCTCAGAGGCCATCCAGTTCCACCCTCTCCCCGCTTTCCAGATGGAGAAATGGACTTGCCCAAGGTTAGACCAGAACTCAGCTCTGTGGACTCTCATCCAGGGGAGTTTTTACAGCGTCCTTCACCTCCGGGACCTTGAGGTCTGCTTGGACACTGGAGGTGGGGGTGGGGGACTTGGAGGTGGGTTCCCATTGGGTTCAGAGATTCATTAAGTCATTTCCTCAGTTGACACTCCAGCCCAAGGCCTGTGTGGGGCCCAGGAGAGAATGCATGAGCCCTGGCCCTGCCGTGGTTCTCAGGGGCCCTGAGAGGTGGGCCCTAAGAAAGCAAAATGCAGGCGGGATTGGGACCCGGGCTTTTCGGGCGCCAGAGCCCACATTGTCTCCACTGGGCTGCACTGATCAGTGAGGGGGCTGAGAGGGTCCCTGAAGTCAAGGAGAGATGGTTTCCTGAGGCAGCTTTGTCCCCTGGGCTGGGAGAGGGGTGGCCGCTCAGGAGGAGGGTCTGGCCTCGAGGACATGTGAGCCCTGACTCTCTGTCCCCAGCTGCTGTCCCATCCTAGTCTCTCCAAACCTACGGAAGCCCCAGAGCCTCTCGCCCGACGTATTTGCATAGTTGTGCACGCCATGTACCAGCCCTGACTGACCCCTCACCACTGCAGGAGGAAGGGGTGCCGAGCTGTGGCTCTGCCCACGGCGGGTGCATCCTCCGGTCCCCTCCTCCTGCCCTGCCCCAGCTCCCACAGACCCCTGCAGAGTCCAGCTCCCCCTTCAAGCCTTCTCCACCGGCACCCTCACTGAGCTAGCCCCATGGCCTTTCCAGCGTGTGACTCCACCCCCTGCCACATACTTGGCTCCAGCCATCCCCTGCTGCCCCCCACTTCCTGCCCAGCCAGGTGTGCCCCTGCCTGACTAGTTCTCTCCGTGGGAATGTTTGAAGGAACCCTGCCCGTCTGTCCATCAGAAATAAACTCTCTCCTGGACCCGGTCTGAGTCCCTATTGCACCTGTGATTGTGATTATTATGACGATAATGACAACAGCTAAGAATGACAGGTCGTGAATGAGGTCATCTAATCCTGAACACCACGGCGCCTGTGCTGTTCGCTGCACTTTACAGATTGGGAAACTGAGAGGGACGGTGTCACAAACACAGTCGGTGGCAGCCAGCTGCATTGGCTCCTAGGTGGTCCCTCCATGTTTATTCTGTTCTCCCTTGTTAGTTTCTGCCTCTCCAACTGACTGCAGGCTCCTCGAGAGCAAGGACTGTGTCTATACCCCGAGTGACTGGCCCAAAGCCTGACCATGGTGACCAGACATGACGGCTACGTTGAACTGAGTGGGAGACAGCAGCCGAGGGTGTCCAGCATGGACTTGGAGTTACTCAGAGCCCCTCCTGAGCTGTGTGACTTCAGGCCAGCTGCCTGACCTCTCTGAGCCTCCATTTCCCCCTCTATGAGATGGAGGTGACAAGGCACTAACCTCATGAGCTTGTTGTGAGAGTCAGGTGACATGACGCCTATGAAATTCAAACCCAAATCACGCCACCTCCAGCTCCTCTGGTCCTGAGCCCTGGCACTGCCACTGTCCTTCCTCCCAGTGAGCCCTATCACTTAGCTTATCAGTAGCTTCATGTTTCCTGTCTGACCTCTGCTGGGGATCCGGTTGGTTCTCCTATGTCAATCGTGTGGCTGTGGGCCACTCAGTCCCTTTTCTTGGACCTTAAAGTCCAGGGGGTTGGACCAAATGGTCCCTGGGACCTCTTCCCGCTCTGGCTTCCGGAGGAGGCAGGGAGGGACCTGGACACAGCAGGGGGTGAGGACTTGGAGAAGTGGCCCAGAAGCCTCACATGGGACATGGTGACCACTCCGGCCCCTGAGCACTCTGTATGCCAAGCTCTGCCCTGTGTCTGTGTCCTCACAGCAGTACAAATTCTGTACATTTCCCTTATTTAACCCTCTATAATATTTTAACTAGAAAGTGAATTAATGAAACACAGTTGGATAAACATATTGCTTCATATTTTAAAGAAACAACAAAAACACATGCCTGCCTTGTGATTTCCTATGAGGCTAAACACTTCTTACCCAACCCTAGAAGGTATTATTCTCCCCATTTCATAGATGAGGGACTGGGGCACACAGTTAGTGTGTGGCAGAGCCAGCATCCTACCAGGCCTGGAAGGAGGCAGGTGGGAAGTGGCGGGGGGAGGAAGGGGGGTGCGCAGTCGCCAGAGCTCTCCCCTCCCACCCTTTCAGAGGTCTGACCTGCCCAGCCTCTTCCCAGGGCAGATTCATACCTGTCACTCTGCCTGGCCCTGTCCTAGGTACTGAGAATGTGAACATCTGTCAGACACAGTCCCTCCCTTGAGAGCCCACAATCTTGTAGGGGAGATTGACAGGTAACTATTTTTTAAAATCCTCACCTGAGGCTATTTTTCCATTTATTTTTAGAGAGAGTGGAAGGGAGGAAGGAAGGGAAGGAGAGAGAGAGAGAGAGAAACATCCATGTCTGTGTTCCTACCTTCCTCCCAACTCATCGGCACCCCTCCTGAGGCATCATGGATTGAAACTGGCCCCTGGTCGCACTCCCTGTGGGGCCCAAGAAGGCCTCAGCACGTGTTCGTGGAGGGGAGGAATGAGAGTTCCATTGCTCCCGGGGTCCAAGAGGAAGGGGCAGGCCGGCTGTCCCTGTTCCAGCCCCGAAAGCAGGAAGGAAGTTGTCCGAGTCCCTCGGGTGCCCTGAGCAATGTGCAGAACATACCTCCAGGGCAGTTTTCTCAGAAACTCTAAAGAGCTGCCTGGGTGGCTGGGACATTGGTGGGCCCACGGGGACCACCAAGGGGGAGGCTTGTAGCTCTTGGCCCACCTCCTCAGACATCTGTGTGTCTGCCAGACCCTGTCCCGAGTTGGACAGACCCAAGGCGGGTAGGGAGAGCCTGAAGAGCCGACGGGCAGGGTTCCTTCAAGTCTCCAGGGTGGGGCCCAAGCATCTCCACGGAGAGAACTAGTCCATCTGCTCCAACGACTCTCGCACAGGAATCCTTTAGGGATGACTTTCGGCTGTTAGTGATACAGTCCCGACTAAAGGAGTTGAAATAGTGAAGGAGGTTATTCTGCTCCACGGAGAAGCAGGGAGGAGGCCTTGCAGAATCAACGCCTGGAAGTAGTGAGAGTGAAGATGTATACAACGTGTCCCGAAGCTGACTGTGCAAACCTTCGCAGCCCTGTGTCCTCTGACCTCACATTGATAGCTTGAAACCGGCTTTGGTGGGAGTGTTCACATCACAGAAGCTGGCCAGCTCTGTACATTGGGGCTTTTTATTTCCAGAGGGAGCTGAAGGAGCAGCTTCAGGCCCTTCAGGACAGCGAGCGGGAGCACACGGAGGCGCTGCAGCTGCTCAAGCGACAGCTGGCGGAGACCAAGGTGAGCCGGGCCTGGCCCAGGAGGTGACTGGCCGGGAGGGGCGGGGCCTCGGGGAGTGAGGGGCGGAGACTCGGCCCTGCTCTGGGGGCGGGGCTTCGAGGGGCCGAACTCCACGTGGAGGGGCGGGGCTGTGGAGGGGGAGCGGAGATTGAGGCTTCAGCAAAGGTAAATGGGGTGGGACTTAGTGCAGGGTAACTGAGAGCTAGGATTTGGGTTAGTGCTTGGATTAAGGGTGGATCCCTTTCTCCCTTCCTGGTTTGGGTGGAAGTTGAGATGGGACCAGAGCAGCGGTTCTCAACCTGTGGGTCGCGACTCCTTTGGGGGTCGAACGACCCTTTCACAGGGGTCGCCTAGACCATCGGAAAACACATATTGAATATATAATTACATATTGTTTTTGTGATTCATCACTATGCTTTAATTATGTTCAATTTGTAACAATGAAAATACATCCTGCATATCAGATATTCACATTACGATTCATAACAGTAGCAACATTACAGTTATGAAGTAGCAACGAAATAATTTTATGGTTGGGGGTCACCACAACATGAGGAACTGTATTAAAGGGTCGCCGCATTAGAAAGTTTGAGAACCACTGGACCAGAGACCCCCCCCCCAACTGCCCCCTCCGCGGCTCCCTGCAGGGGTCTTTTCCCCCTACGTGTTAACCACGCCTATTGACGGAGGAGCCAGCCCTGAGCATCCTTCTTGAAGCGCTCCTGGTGATTTGTGGGCCAGCCCTGATATCATCTCCCCTCTCACTTAGGCCTGCGATCATGGACTGAAAAATAGGGCCAAACCCTCCTGTCTCTGGCCACAGTGATTTAAAAAGAAAAGCCTTTTTCTTGGCCTGAGAGGAGGGCTGTGAGTTCTGAGGCACCACTAACTGCTCGCTGTATGACTTCACTGCCAGCAGCAGCTGGAGCAGAGCCTTAGGAATGCTCTGGGCCTCAGGAGGTCACCCTGGGGGTCACCCTGGGGCCCCGAGAGGCCCTTGGAGATCCCAGATCTGTGCCCCATCTTGGCACCCTGCTGTGGGGTTTCAGACATTTCTTGAGAGAACATTCCAGAGGGCCTCTGGGCAGACCCTCTGCTAGCAACAGATGAGAAACAAGTCACAGAACTCTGGCCTGTTTGCTTCTCACAGCCTCGGTTTCCCCACCTGCCTGGTGATTGTACGCTTCTCAGGAAAAGAGAAGCAAACAGAAGTCTCTACCTGGATGGGGGGGAGGGGGAATATGGTCTGTTCCTTCTCCCCAGCATTCTCTTCTTTTCTCCCCCTCCCCCCATTGTTTTTCTCCACTGACCTCTTCCTCCCCTGATTTCCTGTCCATCTGTCTACCTCTGGGAGGTCCTGGGGGGCCACCTACCCTCCAGTTCCCCCAGCCCTGCTTCCTGTCTGGACTGGGGTGTTTATACAAGAAATGCCTATGGATGCTGTGGAGGTCATATTTCACCTGGTGCCTGACTCGGCTTTCCTGCAGCGCCTGCTTCTCCAGCGGCCCAGCCTGAGGGTCTGTCTGACCTCTCTCCACAGGCCCAGTGTTTTCCTTGGGCGGCCCTGACCGGGTGATGCATTCTTGGCAGAGTGTTTTCCTGAAACGGCCCCAGCTGCTCCAAGCCCCAGTGTGTTCCCAGGGATGTGGTGGGCTGGGGTGGGGGCTGCTTTCCCAGCCACTGCACCAAAGGGATTGGGGGGGAGGCAGGGTTGGATCTGCCACAGAAAGAACTATAGTAACCGGGACACACCCATTAGGCTAAACCTTTCTCCGCTAGAAATTGTTCCTATTTGTTGTCTCACTGAGCCTCAGAATGTCACCTCCATGACAGCAGGACTCTCAGACCTAGCACAGTGCCTCCCATACAGTTAATAATTGTAAAACAAATAAGTGTGTGTCTGGTGGAAATACCTCTTGAGGTATCTCCATTTTATCAGCAAGGAAACTGAGACACAGAGTGGTTGGCAGACTGACCTGAGGCCCCAGAACTAGTAAGTGGCCAATCAGGAGCTCGCTGTCCAGTTACGTCAGAGACTAGTGCATATTCCAGCCTCACGCTGGGGTGTCCTCAGCAAGATCCCCGGCTTTGTGGCCAGCAAGCCAGGTAGGTCAGGAAACATATTTGGGTCTCCTGGGGTGGCTGTCACTCTGATGTTCCACTTCCGACCTGCCTTCTCCTTGCCTCTCCCACTTCCCCTACCCATCCTCCTCTGTCCTGGGGACACTGGGCTCCCACTCTAGAAATAAGAGGGGGTCTGCACCCACCTTTGTAGAGAAATCTTGGGCAAGACCCTTCCCTTCTTCATCTCTGAGGCAGGTCCTGACTGCACCAGCCTTGTGTCAGGCCCTGGGATGGACACGGGGGTTGGAGGGGGAGGAGGAAAGAGGTGAGGAAGACATCATTCCTATGGGGTGAGGGATTGATCTGATAGCTGGGAGCCACATAAAATGTGGGACAGTGTGTTAAAAAGTATTTACAAAATGCTCTGGGAACATTTAACTCACTGCCTGAAAAGTTAAGGAAGGTGTCGCAGAGGAGATAGCTGGGTCTTGTGGGATAAGTAGGAGTTTGCCAGTTGAATAAGCTATCTGTCGGGGTATCCATTCCAGGCAGGTGGAATTGCGGTGCAAAGGCACTAGAAGGTAAGCTGGGATGAACTGAGGACTCTCTATGCCAGGCTAAGGAATTTAGCATTTCACTAGTCCTCAAGGAGCCTAGACAGGTTCTTAAACGCAGGATAGGCGGTGACCCAGTTTACACATGAGAAGGATCACGCTGGCAGCAAGTTTGTTGGCCAAGACACAGAGCTGACTTTGGACCGAGTGAGTTGGAGGGCCTGTGGGATCCTGGGGTGTGTGTGGAGGAGGCAGGTGGGAAAATGAACAGGAGTCATGCAAGGCCACTGATAAGGATGTGGGAGCCGTCTTCAAAGCAGTGAGAGCCAGAAAGGATGGAGAGGATGGAGTATGAGAATGGGGGGAGCTGGCCTGCACACGCCCTAAGGAACATGGGCGGCAGAGAGGGAGCAGCCACAGAGGTGGGAGGCAAACCAGAACTTTCAATCAGTAGAGGGTGGCCAGTGGGCCAAATGCTGCAGCAGCATGGTTGAGGAGGAACTGGAAGGGGTGGCCCTGGAATTTGGGGACCTTTGGGGGCCGTGGCAGATGGTGCAGGAAGGGCAGGCCCCATTTCTCTATCGTGACCTGCCTCTGCAGAAGCCTCTGCCCTCCCTGGGCGGGGGGCTCAGGGAGGCCACAGGCACTCAGCTGTTCGTCCCCAGCCTCCCCTCCACCCCTTTGTCTGCCTGGCGCTCTGGGTGGGCATGCGCAGGGAGGCTGGCCCACTGCCAGCAGCTCTTTCTGCAGCTGAGACAGGGAGGGAACTGGCCCTAATTGAGCCTTTGTGGAGCCTCCCACAGAGCCCTGGGCACTGTACACAGCAGGGTCCCTGACTCTGTGAACTCCCAGCCAGAATCCCACAAAGTAAAATCGCAGAGGCAGGCCCCACACACTGCCGCAGCCTGGCCACACTTCTGTGCCCGGTGTGTGTCATCCTGACTCGCGCTGTTCCCTCTTCCCGTCCTCCTCACCCGCAACTGACATCGGCTCATTCTTCAGGCTGCAGCTCAGAAGCCATCTCTCAATGGAGAACTTCTAGGATGTGTCTGTCAGAACTGATGCCTTTTTAATGACCAGGCTCTTTCTCTGCACCTCGAACAATGTCATGCATTTGGTGAACATCCCCCTCATTCAATCTTCACCATCGCCCTGCAATGTAGTTTACCCTTTTCACAGATAAGAAAGCTAAAGTGCATGGATATCAGGCAACTGAGGTTGCCATACTCAAGACCCAGAGCTAGGATCCTCACCCACACTGTGGGCACAAAAGCCTGTGCCCTACACCACTCAGCCCCCTCAGCCTGAGGGTCTGGCATGCCTGTGGGGGCAGAGAGAACCACCGAAGCCCATGCTTGCCTCCTCTGATAATGGCCTTAACCTCCAGCTCTTATTCCTTGGCCTCAGGGGTGGCAGGACAGGGTGAGTGACCACCAAGGTTTGCCCAGCACATTGCAGTTTATAAAGCTTCTGATATGTCACCTCTTTGTCATTTTGCTTGAGCCCATGGGTGGATTTTTCTCAAAAATAAACACTTCACAGATTGAACTCGACATCTTTTCCTTACCCCTCCCAGGCCCCAGCTTTCTTCCCACCTGTCTCCCAGCTTCTCATCCCTCTGACCCTAAGGCCCAAAATCTGGGTATCACCCTCACACCTTTCTCGCCTACATCCAGGCAGTCAGGCAAAGACGTCTTCGACACCCTAAATGTCTTTTCAGGCCATGGCCCTTTGCTGATCCTCATTGTCTTAACCTGGGACTGGTCTCATTAGTTTCC